TTGATACAGATCCTGAGTGATCCCGAGGAGCTGCTGAGATTTGGTACCTCCTTGTTTGTTGATGTAAGCCACTACTGTAGAATTGTCCGACACTAACATGGGACTCTTCCTGTACAAGCGATTCCCCCCAACAACGGATCGCTTTTAACAGTGCTAACTTCTCCCAACAGTTTATCTGTAGATTCACCTCTGACGGATTCCACACACCTTGAATCTGCCAGATGTCCATGTGTGCATCCCAACCCGTGTTCGAGGCATCCGCATAAAGCGTCAGATCCGGTAAACGGGGATGTAATGAAACTCCCGGCAACACAATCACGTCCACCGTCCACCATAATATCTCCCTTCGGACTCTGTCTGGAAAAGCTATGAGAAGTTCAAAGTCCTCCATCCGAAACTGGTTGAGCCCCATCGGCGGGATTCTCAACCTTAGCCTTCCTCTTACAGTATAATCCTGGATTGAAGTGAGAGATCCTAGTAGGGACATCCAGGAATGGACTGACGCAACTGGCTTCTGTAACATGTTGGCTATCTTGGTTGATATTCCCAACCAACGTTCCTGAGGAGTGTAAATGCGGCATACTCTTGAATCTAAGATTGCCCCCAGAAACTTGATCCTCATGGAAGGAACCAGTTCTGACTTGGTAGGATGAACTATTAGACCCAGATGCGTAAACACGTGGATGATAAAGTTGGTTTGCCTCATGAGAACCGCTGTCACCACATGCTTTGCCAAGAAATCGTCAAAATAAATGTGTATTGCAATCCTTAGTTGATGAAGAAAAGCTAAAATCGGGGAGATTACTTTCGTGAAAAGCCACGGTGCTAGTGATATTCCGAATGGAAGCACCTTGAACTGAAACCTGCGACCGTTCACAGCAAATCTGAGGTATTTCTGGGATTTCAGATAAACAGTGATATGGAGATACGCATCCTTTAGATCTATGCTTATAAACTTGCAATCCTGACGAATCAATGTGGGTAGGTTTGCAATTGATTCCATCCTGAATTTTGGCGGTTTCCTCAAAAATAGCTTGTTCAACACTTTCAAGTCTATTATCATGCGCATTTCATCCAAATCTTTCTTGGGGACTAGGAATATCGGTGTATAAAACCTGCATGTTTGATCCCCTGGAGGAAGTTCCATGATTTCCCGTTTCTCCAGTAGCGGATTTATTGCTAAGTTTGCTCCCGCTAAATGTTGGCCTTGAAGAACAAATCGACGACCCTCTGGAAAACAAGTCACTGGAGGCTGCTTTGTGCCAAGGAAGAATAAACCCCCTGCTCACGAGAGACAGGACCCACTCGTCTGATGTTATAAGTTTACAATTGTCTAAGTATTGGGCCAATCTGCCCCCTACTGGAGATTGTGTCACCGGACATACAAATTCCAAATCCAACATCATGTTGAGAAACGTTTCCAATTCGTAAGGAAGAGAACGCTAAACAGTGAGACTTGAGTCAATATTTCTTGGAAGTTGATCTTGATCCACGAAAAGATCTACCTCCCCTACCTCTACCCCTAGATGAGGATGAGCCTCTAGTAAAAGCCACATTTGTTGAATGCGCTCTTGAATCCGAGGCACGATCAAATGCAGACCTCTGAAAATTCAGACTACGACTTGTTGAAGATGGAGCAGAACGAGAAGTAACACTGGATCCCCTTCTAGATCTAATGTCAGCCCTTCCTCTATTTTGGAATAAAAGAGCCGACGCCAAACGTTGATTCAAGTTCCTCGACGTCAAAGCATCTCTATCCTAAATAGCCTGTTGACATTGTCAATTAAAGGTGTTATCCGATTCCAAGGGCTGGTGCAACAGAAAATCCATTGAAACATCCGGTAAATTCCTCACTGAATCTAGCCGCTGTATCCGCTAAATAGCTGTAAGTCGACCCAAACTATTCACCCGAGTAGCCATTGCATCGGCTAAGGACTGATACACTACATCCAGAAACGAATGTGCTAACGCCACCTCTTGAGCAGTCATGGAAATCAAAGTGTCTTTCTTAACTCCCGTATAATTTTGAAACACTAGTGGGAGCAAGGCACGAACTCCCGCAGAAAACCAGTTTGAATAAGATAGGGTATCAATCACCAGACGGGCTGCCGTATCCAATTCCTTACAATCCTTGAAAGTACAGAACAGTGCATAGTCACGAGAGCCTCTAGCATCCTGTAACTGTTTAAAGTCCTTGTCTAAACTTGGTTGATTGACTGGGATAACACGATGATGAATGGAATAAATGGGTTTATGAGAAACCCTAGGCAAAGAACTCAAGTTCGTAGCCTTGGAGAGGCCTAAGTTGTAATTCTCCAACACTTTCTTAAGTGATGATGAATGTGGTAATGACAGCCTGGGCATCCGTTCCGGGGGAACACAACTTGATAATCCGAGTTCCACGGGAATATCTATCTCCTGCTCGCCGGACGGCGGTGGTAGAGTATTAGGATAGAGTCCGTGCAAAAGTTCCAGTTTTTCCTTAAATGACCAGCCCGGCTTAAAATCCTGTGCTGACATGTCCATAGGTTGTACCGTCAACTACCCTTCTTTCATGGAAAACTCCGATTGAGAAAAAGGATAAACCGATGAATCCTCCTGATCCGTCACATCAGACACTAACGGTATCAAGGGCTGATTGTCTGTGTCAAAATAACCTTGCGGGTCCGTAGCCATGTCCTCTGAACCGCTAGGCCCGTGCAAATCAGACTGCTGGGTTGATACACCGTTATCCATAGCAGCCGACCCAGTGGCCTGGCTAGAGCTGGGGCGGGAATCACGTGCTGTCTGGACCGAGTCAGACCCGTGAAACGCTTGCAGCCTGGTCTCCCCGTGGGAGAAGGTAGCAGGCTGTATGCGACAGGGAGCAGCCATGGATGACTGGCTCCCGGGGACAAAGGACGCGGAGTGTGTAGCCTGAGCCACGGTCACCCCGGATCCGGAGCCGGCTTGGCCAACTCCATCCCCGTCGCTTGAAGCCCCTGAGGGGACCGGCCTCCTACGTACGCCAGGGCATGGTAACCGGCTTTCCCGGTCATTGCACCCATAGGAAGTGACTTTGGCCCCCGGCTCTTGCCATCAACCACCAAGCCACTGCGGCTATCTGCCGTCTTGCCGGATAAAACAGGATCCTCCAAATGTTTTGACAGTTTTTGTCATTCCTCATCTCCATATCCCAAACAGATTTATCCATGGCCGCCTGGATATTGGACTTAAATTCCCGCCAAAAGTTCTGAGAACGCAGATATATCCAATTGGGGAGAGGATTTCGATTTCGATCTAGAACGAGACTTCGGTTCAGATTTGATAGATAAAGGCGGAGATCCCTGAACTTTCTTCGACTTAAAACATTCTGATGACAATGAATGTTTATGCTTCCTAACTAAGGAACGAGATTTGTCCATCAACAACCAATCTTCTTTAGGCATTTCCTGACACAATAAGCATCGATCCGAGATTGAGCAAGGTAAGCCTTTATAACAGGAAGCACACAGAGAGTGGGAATCAACATCCACCATGAATTTCAGACATTGTAGACATTTGCTCTGCGCCATACTTGTCAATAAAAAAGGGTGGGAAAACTTCAGACCCTAAATACGTTGGCAATATATCTAATATAAATGCAAAACAGCAATGCGATTGAATATTAAATGGAATGCGATTTGTAACTGACCTATATATGAAGAATTGAAGTCTTGATTCGAAATGAAATTTCACTCGACTCTGTGCACGTCATGCATGTGGACCATACAGAAAAATTGTGAAGGGTTCTAGGAGAACAATACAGTGACGTCAGGATCAAGGGAGATAACTCAGGGGTAGATTAGGTATACCACTAGGAATAGCTATGACTTAGTGTTAAAATGTCTTTTGATTTTCTGTATGTGTTCTGTGTATCCACAGGAATAAGGCTACCATAATCCAGAGGGAATGTTTACGTTATAATTACTGAATTTGTGAACTGACTTTTGACACCATGTGTCTTCAAGGGCATGTCACGATACTATGTGTCAAATCATACAGATTTCGATATTAAACAGTGATTAAGGAAAATACCAGATACCATGTTATTACATTTTTGCATTAAAAATGGCATAACATCAGATAATGCACAGTTACTTTATTCCAGTACTATATGTCAGTGTCTGTCTCTAAAAGTGCCAAATCAGGGCACAATTGCTTAAAATGCATAAAGTCAAATAATGAAACACTGGAACATGTCAAAAAAGGACATATTGTTGTAAATATTGATTAGAATTGTTTCTGAAATCATGGGTCCATGTACGTATGGTGTTTCAATCAGTAAAGAGACATGAAATTTAGCGGGGGAGCTCCACTTCTTTTGCGTTCGATGTTTAGTGTAATGTGTCATTGTAGGTTTAATATGCCATCTAAGTTGAGAACGTGTCACAAATTTTTGAGTGCTGCTTTTGCTACAGTATCAGATTGTGTGTTTTCAGTGATTCCAAAATGGCTGGGTAAGCAAAACAACATGACACTGAATTGACCAATAGCAATCACATTAAATAATGTGTGGACCTATACATTTGACATAATTAAATGATAAGTGTTGAATTAATTATTTAGTGTAAATGCAATATCCTTGGATATTTTTAGGTTACAATCTGAAAATTACAAGTGAACTTTACCTTAAGTGTTGTCCAGTCACATGTCATACACATCACACCAACAGGAAGTATATTATGTATGAAGTCTTAAACATCTTTTACACATTCCATGAAACAAATTAAGCACACACACCCTTACATTTAAGAAATTTGAACATAAATGTCTTCTAACATCCAGGATGTATATGATATATAACAAGTGCAATGATGAATGCATTAAATTTGAGAATGAGCATCCACAAAAGTGTTTGTTTTTTCTAACTCTCTCATGACCTTGATCATTGGCCTTTTTTTCATGATATGTTAAATGAATTCACCCATGGCTATTTGGGGGTCAATCAGTTATACTACTAGTCATTTATGTTCTCCTACCTTGCTCTCTGGATAGCATCAATCCATGCCTTACAGTCCGACTCTGATTCACTGCGTAGATCGTATTGTCTTTGACCCTCGCTTTTGTAGGTTATTGTAAAGCAATACTGTGAAAATAGAGAAAGACAAAAATTAACTTAATGCTATAGATAACATTATTACCATATTCCTTTACCTGAAATGAAAACTATACACATAAACAAGTTGGGGAAAAAGTTATCCTTTGCTTTACATTTGGTACAGGGATGATCTCACTCGGCAGTACAGGCCACCAGTCTCCATCAATAGAGTTTTACTGATCTTAGTTTATCAACAATCGAACTGTTCTCCTAAAGACAGACACATAGTTCATGTATGAAGCTTCACACACTGACTGCATGGCTGAAAGATGATTTGGTAAGCGATTTATAGGTGCATTCATACGATACAACTTATTGGTACCACAAGAACGGAATTAGTTGTATGAGCTGAAGTTGTATATACCTCGTCATTCAAAAAGCATTGAGTTGCACACAGCTTGAATCTTGCAACACATTACCACTGGAGTCCTGTTTGTCAAGTTACTTTTTAGACACACAGTTTTGAAAAGTTTACTCTCTGTCTTTGCAATTAGGAGGAGTGGTATAGAGATGAATGTTCTGTCCTTGGTGTAAAGTGACAGAAATACAGTTTTGAAATACAGAAAGTGATAAAATTTAGTCATATCTCAATATTAATCGATACAATATGGAATGATGAAAAGTTATACTTGACAGGTTTTTGTAAACTTTCAGTGAATACAATAACAATACTGCTTTATGACCAACATAATGACATCGATATCATATAGTTATGACCAACAATCACAATGACATATATCATATGGTTATAACCAACATGACATAGATATCATATGGTTATGACCAACATAGAGACATATATCATATGGTTATGACCAACATAATGACATAGATATCATATGGTTATGACCAACATAATGACATAGATATCATATGGTTATAACCAACATGACATATATATCATATGGTTATAACCAACATGACAGATATCATATGGTTATGACCAACATAGAGACATATATATCATATGGTTATGACCAACATAATGACATAGATATCATAAGGTTATGACCAACATAATGACATATATATCAAATGGTTATGACCAACATAATGACATATATATCATATGGTTATGACCAACATAATGACATATATATCAAATGGTTATGACCAACATAATGACATAGATATCATATTGTTATGACCAACATAATGACATAGATATCATATGGTTATGACCAACATAATGACATAGATATCATATGGTTATGACCAACATAATGACATAGATATATGGTTATAACCAACATGACATAGATATCATATGGTTATGACCAACATAGAGACATATATATCATATGGTTATGACCAACATAATGACATAGATATCATATGGTTATGACCAACATAATGACATAGATATCATATGGTTATGACCAACATAATGACATAGATATCATATGGTTATGACCAACATAATGACATAGATATCATATGGTTATGACCAACATAATGGCATAGATATCATATGGTTATGACCAACATAATGGCATAGATATCATATGGTTATGACCAACATAATGACATAGATATCATATGGTTATAACCAACATAATGAAACATATCATATGGTTATGGCCAACATAATGACATAGATATCAGATGGTTATGACCAACATAATGAAACAGGTATCATATGGTTATGACCAACATAATGAAACAGGTATCATATGGTTATGACCAAAATAATGACCTATATATATCATATGGTTATGAACAACATAATGACATAGATATCATATGGTTATGACCAACATAATGACATAGATATCAGATGGTTATGACTAACATAATGACATAGATATCAGATGGTTATGACCAACATAATAACATATATATCATATGGTTATGACCAACATAATGAAACAGATATCATATGGTTATGACCAACATTATGACATATATATCATATGTTTATGACCAACATAATGACATATATATATCATATTGTTATGACCAATATAACTACATATATACTGACACACATTGAAAACGCAAAACCAAATTCAAATGAGGAAAAATTAACAAACAACATTTGCATGAAAATTTGAATACCATTATGTTGAGAATTTTATTGTGCTTCAATTTCAGAAAAAAAGTATTGCAAGCATTCCACTAATATGGCTGACACGCCAAACTTCACACACAGACCCCCCTCACATCCGTCAGTAGCGAGTGTGACCTCCCCGAGCCTGTACACATGCACGGAATCGACATTGCATGGATTCGCACAAACATTGAACAGTTGCTTAGGGGATGTTCTGCCACTCCTGTTGTAAAGCCAGGGTCAACTTAGACTAAGGCTTAGTCTCTGAATATATATAATTTTGATAGTAACAAACAAGCCCATTTATATTGAAAAGGAGCCCTAGGGAGACCAGAGATTCAGAACCTGAGGAAATCTAGTGTTTTGCAGTGGAATGAAAACAAAAATTCTAATTATTTAATCCAAATTTTATTTCCCCACAATTCTAAATTTATATATACACTAACGAATGCAAGATACTGTAGAAAGCTTCAATACCTTGCTGAGGTCCGATTATGACCAAATCATCTCAAACGCGTCAACATCCAACACACAGATGTTCGTTCGACGCAACCATCTAACCATCTAACCATCTAACATTCTAACACTAATACCCTAACCCACAGTCTCTAACACACTCCTTTAACACACTGTCCGAAGTATCACGAAATACGTTTATATAACAAACATTCATTCATGGAATTCTCGTGCAGTAGCGTTTCTGCGAAGTGTTGTGTTCGCGCATGTACAACACATTGTCCGAGAACAAAACAAAACATCCATAGGATAACTGAACATCCCAAAACGCAACTGTTCTATAACCTCATCCGAGAACATGCTCATCTGGTGTCCGCGGTCGCAGTGTTTCGGACATTCCATGAACTGTTCTTCAGTCCATCTAGACTTGCTTTATTTAGGGCTTTAGCTTGCAGAGAGGGCTTGGCCGTATGGAAATTAATGTGGTTCAGGGACTGTGAGACAGACTAGACCAATTCTTTCTCTGGACTGTATCAGCTGACCCACTTAATTCTGGTGGATACTTGTGATGTTGAATGAAACATCAGTGAGGTCGCTGGTGAGGAAACAATCACCCATGAGGATTTTGATGGCAAGAATATTGAGCCAAACATTTTCTCTCCAGACTGGGCACAGGCCAAATATGAAAGTAACTGTATATCAACACAGAGACAAACATGCAGTGCTTCCAGTACTAACTATTATGCTTAGTGCTGCAACAATTTTCATTTACAGGACTGTCAAAATATTCAGACTTCACTGTTGTACTTCCATTTTTGGTGCATATGCATGTCACCTAAATTATCTGTACAGCAATATTGACAGTATGATTGTCAGTGTGGAAAACATCAACATGCATCTGATGTAAGTGTTAATCAAGGTTCTTCAAAGGAGACCATCATTTTTTACTGTATGTATGTCTATATTTATGAATGTCCATACATGCAGAATATAATATGTTGAACAATAAAAACTAAAATGACAACCCAGACTTTGTTGATTTTTGTTTGATGATAATTGACACATGAGAATAATCGTAAGTATTGTAGAATCTCAATTGTACCATTTAGACTACCATTCAAAAGCTATATTATTCCTTGTTTCAGTATTTCAAATACACACTGTGTTCACTGACACTGTGAGTCCATTATAATTGTGACGAGCCTTGATGTAATTTGCAAACCCTTCACACATGCTGGAATAACAAATGTGAATATTTGTAATCAAATTTAAAAGGCTCCCACCTTAAAAGACAATGAACCCAATGCCCCCTTGCTTCTGGCATCAGATAGTTCAGACCTCCAGTAATGGTTCAATGTGTTTATAATATTTCAGTAATTCACTCATGCTTATTTACATTAAGCGACAACACCTGAAAAACAATTTCAAATAATATTCTTGTGTTTTCAAAATGTGATCTATCATTTAGATACTGGTTATTTGTGTTGAGAAGAGACAGCCTGTGAAAATGGTACAGATTGTGGTGGGGTCCCAAATGATACTTAGAAATATATTGTGCAAGCAATATGCCAATTTACTGTACATTTTGGGATTGAATAATGGCCTAAAATATATTTTGGGGGTGTGAGGTGATGATGAATTTAAGAGGGATCACCTATTTTGTTCTAGAAAGGTAGAGGTCATCAATTTTGTACACATGTACTAGAGGGGGGTAAGCAAATTTGTACATAAAAAAGATTATGCTTAAAATTATGGGGTGGGGATGGGTTTAATTGATTTTGAATATGACATATTCAAAGGGGGTGTCACTTACTTTGTACATGAATTGTAGGGAGGTCATTCACATTGTACATGCTTCTCCATAAAAATCATCACCAACACCCACCCCATTAATTATGAACGGTCCTTAAATATGTATGTAGAAACTATAAACCGGAAGTTGTGAGCTTATTTATCGTGTGTAATGGGTGTAATATATTTTGTTGAACACACTGTCAGCGAGTCGTTAATTCGATGAAAATGATTTATGTTTCAAATCCTTTCGAAAACGATCCGTTGCCATAGCATTTCCTCTTTCCATTGCATCCCAATGCATTATAGGCTATGAGAATAGGTTGTTACGTGAACGAAAACTGAAGCACTTATGTTGTGCCCGTAATCAAGTCAGCGCTAACGTTATTTGTGTAACGCTAATTTCAGTGTACACTAATCCTATGTTCTAACAACTATTACAACCGCATTAATGCTCTGTGTAATGTGACATAATGGGGAGTAAATGGTTTGACGAATTTACAAAGCAACTACTCAATAAGAAATTCCGAGAAACGGCAATATTACAATAACTGCAGTACCGTCCTATTAGCATTATTTTTCGTCCAGACACGCTAGTTCTTCGTGCTTTGACAACAGTCGTCAGTCGGGACAACTTCCAGATTCCGTAATTCGTAATATAAGAATTAAAAGTAGGTTTAATGTCGATTTA